GGAGGGGCTCGCAAGGCCGGACGGCTCCAGTACTGCCATATATGGTAAAAGCTCCATTAGAAGAAAGGCGCAGCTTTCCGGTAGCCTATGACGGAAGCAGATACAGATGATAATGGAGCCTTTTGCCTGACCAATTACTATTAAGAAAGAAACAGCATGAGCTCGACCATATAGGTAGATGGTGGCGGTGGAGAGAACCGTGCGCGCAAGGTCAGGACATCCAGCGTGCAAAAGTTCATGAGCCGGCTTCCTGATTGTAGAGCTACCACGAGGAGCCAAAGCACACGAAAGCAATTTCTAATGCCGGGAGGTCTTGTCGTGTAGCAGTGTGGATACTTTTGAGTATTCCCCAGTCCAAAGATTCGGCTTGCCCGGTCGCATATGCCCGCTTACCCTCGTCCAAAGGGATACAGTGGTTGGTGGGGGCCAAGTGTTGTGCATCTTCCAAGAGAGCAATGGGATCATGGAGTTATGTCCTAGAATGAGGCTCCTTCCATCAACGGCAGTGAGTTGCGCCTAATGTTAGCTCCTGAAAACCCGCTGTTATACTAGAGCGCAATTCATGTAATCGTGTGTTCTTGTCGATCGTCGGGAAGTAACCAGTCTCTGGGCTACATGCCTCTAGTTCTGGTGTAATGGACTTCTAGAAGATATGCTAGAATGAGTTAGCCATATTTATCGGTCAATAAAATCTTTCTTTATCTGCCAACCCTGTAATGGTTGAAGCACCAACACGTTTGCTCTGATGCGGAGATGAACCGCGTAACAGCACACAAAGAGCAGAAAGGTCATACTAGATTGTAACAGAATCCGAAAAGGGTTTGAAACACACTGCGGATGTCCTAGCGACCATGCAGGTCGATGTCGACCCCAAGATCTTGCATATGCAAATCGCGGGGAAGCAGGGAGCCAACGACATCTGTATGTTAGTCTTATATGGGTGGCAGACAGGCGCATCAGAGATGGCTGTGCAGGCTGAGGGGATTATAGGCTATTGAGCCAGCTGCTGATGAGGCTCTCTCAGCGTGAATAGGATTCACATGTTGCACTCCATATTCAAAAGACAATTGTAACGGATTGATGCTCGGTAGACCCATCGAAGTGTTTGGTGGAAGCCAGCCATTCGAGACCCAGAAGTTTTTGGCAGCGTAAAGGAGTGTGCACGAGCCGACATTCAGCCCGCGTGACTTCCGCCGTGGTATCAGGAAGAGGGAAACACCAAGTGTGGGATCCACTGGGCGGAGATTGCAGGGCTGGGATACATCCTCTACACTGACTCGAGGTATAGCAGATGGGAACATGAAGCTCATCCATACCCAACTAGCTGTAGAGCTTAAAGCTACTTTAAAGCTTCTAGATTATTCCCAGCTGGCATGACCGTGCACTGTTTCACGATCGTGTCAAGTAGCAAGATGGTAGAATAGATAGAATATAGGGTATGACAACTCGAAACGAGGCATTGCGACTTCCTGATTGGCTTCGAGAGCTGCAATCACGTGGTAGCCACGTGGACCTGGTCGCAACTCGAAAAGGAGGACAACAAAGGCAATTTCATTTCGGAAGTCTCCTTTGCATCTCCAAGCTTTATGAATGCCATATACCACTCACTCAGGCGTTGGAGGGATCTGAGCGACCGTGATCCACGATGTCCCCGAATTCCCCGATCGCCTGTTTAGGTAGATCCCGAGTCCCGGGAGAAGCTGCTCCTCAATCATTCACAATCACTCCATGACCAAAGCGTCTCCCATCTCCGGCCTTGGATCGACGGACGCGTCGGCACTTCTTTCTGCTTGGAGGTGTCTGGTACAATTGTCCAATGACACCAGTCGCAATATCTGGCACTCCCGAAAGCCCTTCCAAATAGGGGCTAGACGCCGTTCCCACTTTTCTAGCAACTGGTCCAGGTCCGGACTACAAAGTACAAACTGCCACGACCAGCTCCGTTAGGGAGTTCCTCCGCGGTGAGTGACCCCTGCTACCTTGATTTTCTTTTATTATGCTTATTAAAACTTCTCCTTAGCTGCCTAATTGCCAGCGGCCACAGTGAAAAAATCAGGCCACCGCTCAGGCCACGTGCGGACGATGGAGCTTCGCTGATAAGCCCTGCACGGTTGGGGCCAAGATAAAATCCTCAAATGCTGACGCTCAGATCGATTTGCTTCTGTTGGCTTCACTGATGCATGAGACAACTCGAAAGCCTCGCATCTGCACCATAAGGACTGAACCTTGTCCCCGTTTCTCCATCATGCGAACCCCCGATGGTCGGGGCGCAGTCCATCGAAACAGCTAATATCCGACAACGACCTAGCGCGGTTCAAAAAATTAGCTTGATTAAACCAAATTGCGCCTCGATTGCAAGGCACTCATGGTCTGACAGGCCGGGTGGAGATGGCCGCCAATGCGCCCCCACTTACCCTCAAGCGTGGCCGGGAGAAACCCGGTGATCCTGTTTGCGACGCTAGCTAGTCACTGTAGCCGTGCTGAATTCTAGAATCCACGCTGTGCTGATGGAAGGATGGAAACCAGCCCCCAGAGTCATGGTTGGATTACATCACTAGCCAGCGTTAGGGTCTACAGCCACGATCCTCGCATTGGCTGTTCACAATTTTCATTAACTGCCCGCTCCTGGCCCCTAAATCATGGATAGATGAAAAACCCGATGGGCCCCGGAGCCAGTTCGTCGTCTATTATAGGAATTGTTTCTCCCACGATGCCCCTGCGTGTACCAAATTTTCCGTAAATCCACAGATATGTCCAGTCCCTTTGGTGAGCCGCCCAAGAGCCTCAATCTCGAAGAGGACAGCACGGGGAGAAATGACGCCGTCGTCGTCTGCATGTATGCCCTGGCCTTTGTGACCATTGGTTTTCGGTTATTTTCCCGGATAAAGGTCCAGCAGGCCAGCATAGGGCTCGATGACTGGCTGATTATTGGGGCACTGGTATGTTGTATAGTTTCCTGTGAGGAATATTGTTCTAACTATCATACTACAGTTATCAGGTACAGCCAACATGGCCTGTGCAATAGCCGGTATGCAATCAACCACCCTACCCAACCATTCAACATGCTAACCTTCTCCTTAGGAGGACATTATGGCCTTGGTAAACATGTTTGGGTTGTCACTCTAGATGAGATAATCAACATGGTGCATGTAAGATACCCTTGGTAGCCTTCTCTCGAGGAATGTCGAACTCACATCAATGCTTAGATACTATACGCCAACGTGCTCCTTTATATCCTCACCGTTCCCCTTATCAAAGTCTCCATCATACTATCATATCGCCGACTCTTTGGTATGCAGTGGACCATGTGGGCGTGCATTGCCCTGTCCATCGCCTACTGGATAGGCTGCTCAGTCGCCTTTCTATGCTCCTGCCAACCAGTCTCATATTTCTGGACACAATACGAAAACCCCCTCGGCGGCTATGTCCGTTATGATATTTACCCATTTTACATTGCTCATGCCGTCGCTAACATGGCCGGCGACCTTCTCATCCTTTTCGTTCCGATTCCGCTAGTCTGGCGTTTGAATTTACGAGTGGGACAGAAAATCCAGATTCTAAGCATCTTCCTTCTCGGTGGCTTGTAAGTCAACTACAACCCATCTCCGCCCTTCCCCCAATTAACCCCAACTAATAAATAACCAACAACAGTGTCTGTGTCGCCAGCGCCCTCCGCATCTACTACTTCACCTTCATCAACGACGTCGACGTGACCTGGAACCTGGGCAACGTTTTCATCTGGTCCAGTGTTGAACCATCCATCGGAATTGTCTGTGCCTGCCTCCCCGTCCTCCAACCCCTTTTCCGAACAATTATCAATCGCCGGAGCATGCCAAACCGACCCACCACAAAAGGTGTCCGCTTCGCACCCGATATCATGAGCAAGATCCACGGCGACGATCGAAGACAAACACGAGAAGATGAAGCCGTGTTAACAACAACGTCAGTACATATTGAAATGGACGGTGTAAGCAAGGGGAGAATCAGCGATGAAGAAGAAGCCATGGGGTACGATATAATGTCTATCAAGGTGCAAAAGGATTTTCAAATGGAGGAAGAGCATCGTCGATGAATTTTTTTATGGTGTTATGCTGCGGGTGTTTATCGGACATCTTTTATTTTTTGTTTTGATCGATCGTTTAGCATATGCGTGGGGTTCTTTTCAAGCTTGTACATACATAGACTTACTTACCTCAAGGTATATACCCCTCCCTACTGGAGAGATAATAAGATAATCTCCACACAGACACGATGTTGTGTTGCAGGTTGTAGTTATAGTCGAAAGTAGAAAGATTTTTTCTGGAAATTTACATTGACTGCTGATACTTGATTTAAGGATTTTCTGACTAGTATTTGAGCTGACTGGATTGTGTCTAGGGCAAATGCTCTCAAACTCAGTGTTTAGGTTTCATTGTAAACTTTGGTGGCTGCTTCCGAACCAGTGACACTAGTTCTTTGACTAGTTCGAATACTGAAATACTTGGCCAACATCCAATCCCAGTGAAATGGAGTGGCTCATGAGGAATTTTAAAAACTTCGTCAATATGTGAGTAGACGCGAGGCTTGTAGAGATGTATATAAACCAATCATGCGAAGCGGTCACCATCTATATATCCGTTGTAGTACTTACTACTAGTCCACACACTACGCTTTTGCGATATCAAGCCGATGGATACCATTGTAAAGGATGGGTGATATGGCGAGATCAATCTTTCCTTCCCTAGTACGACAGCATCATCTACATATGAAGATGAATCTAGTCTAGTCCGTTATAACTGATTTTTCTCTCATTAGTTTGGAAGAACACGGTATCATGACTTGAGATTCAACGGCTTGAATTGATTTTAGAGAACATGAGACAGGCAATGGATATCTGCAAATAGGCATTGCCCAAGTCATTTACTATGTCTTCTCGTCGGTAAACGCGGTGTCATCTTTCCCACCTTCATTGGCCCTCTCCCACCCGGAGGCGCTGGCCCCGGCTAGCTCTTCACTCTCTTTCAGAGACGCACGTACATCTCATGCTGGTAGGCAAACCAAAAGGACTCAATCCACCACGGGCGGGTGGTGTCCACAAGTTCGACTTCGAAGGTATGCAACATCAGGGCGATGAACTTCAGCATTTCAACCTGCAGATTGATTGCGTTCGTCAGCGGCCGATGCTTGCTTCTAGAACAGCACGAAGGGGAAAGGGCATATAGCAAAGCAAAAAGAAGAGAGAGAGAGAGAGAGAGAGAGAGAGAGAGAGAGAGAGAGAGAGAGAGAGAGAGAGAGAGAGAGAGAGAGAGAGAGAGGAAAATATAACCCTTACCAAGCCAATATTACGCCCAATGCACATGCGGGGCCCATTCCCACCGAAGGTCATCGTGACCGACTCAAAGTAGCGGGCGCGGACGGGGTCCTCAAGCCATCGCTCCGGGCGAAAGCGATCGGCGTCTTCGCCCCCAAACGGCGCGATCGCGGTTCTGGGCCCGCGGGCTGATGCCAACCGCCGTGCCAGCAGGGATCGCGTGACCTGCCACTGTCATTCCACCCGGGGAGGGGGCCCGTCGGAGCAGCTGGTAGACAATGCTGGGGTGCAGGCGCGTCGCCTCGGACACCACTGCCTGCAGGTACGGCAGCTGTCGGGCCTCGCTGTAGGGGATTCCCTGCTGACCCGGTCGGGCGGCGAAGTACTCGTCGATCTCGGCCTAGAGACGCTTATATACTGCCGGGTGGGTGCACACGTAGTACAGGCAAGCCCGCATGCCGATTGAAGTCGTGTCAGCTCCTGCTCCTCTGTATTGGGGTTGTTAGCCATGAGGTAAGGGTGGGCTCACGGGGTCTGTTTGGTTCAGTTCGTACATGATATTCATGGCCTCGATGAGCACCTCCCCCTCCGACGCTGGGTTCCCATTGGCATCTTTCATCTGGACGAAGTGATGAAGCATGTCCTTGCGGGTGGACTTCCCCGGGGTGGGTGCGGCGCTCTCCTGCATCCGGGCCCGAACGCAGTTAACGCTCCACTGCCGGAAGTGGAGGAAGCTGTTTGGTATGCCCAGCCAGCGCGTAAGGGCAGCGGTCGTCGGTGGGTCAGGAACCGGCTCTTGCCGGGGTAGTGGCCCAGATTGGCCATCCAGAAGAAGCCCGTGAGAATGGCCTGGCGGATGCCCATGACGTCGGAGCCGGTGCGGACGTGCCCTAGCTGGCTGCCGTAGGCGACGGCATCGGTCCACTCGGCCATGTCGACGGTTTTCCCACTGTCTGCACGAGCGGCCAGCTGCCTTAGCAGAAGGTCGAAGCAGCCCTGGATATAGGCCTCGAACTCGAGGATAGCGGTCATGGAGAAGGCGCACGAGACACGCCGGTGGAAGAAGCTGTGCTCGGTCCGGTCCCGCGTTGCGAACAGCCCCAAGGCCGTGCCGGGGACGTCCCAGGTCTCGTACCAGTCGGTCTTGACCACCTGCGTGCCATGGCCGTACAGCGCCCGCGCCGCCGCCTTGTCCACGATGGACACCTCGTTGGGCGCGATCCGCACCACCCGCCCGTACTGCGCGTGCAACGCCAGCACCACGTCATGCCACTGGCCCCGCAGGTAGTACCAGTTGCGCCACATGCCCGTGAACCGTGCGAGGATCGGGCCTGGGGCCTTGGCCAATGGGTGCAGGAATTGGCGGCATAGGAGCAAAAGTACCAGCCCTGCTGCCACGGACACTAGTGCAAGCCTGGTTGGCGTGTGAAGGTGGCTCGTTCCCGCCATGATGGTGGACGTGGCGCCGACGGATTCGGGCTTACTGCTTCCCAGCCAGGTAAAAAGGTGGCTAACCATGCTGGGGGTTTTTCCCTTCAAAGTAATAGGTGGAAAAGAAAGCTATGCACAGTACCGAGGAAATAAGAATATCGGGTAGGTGTATTGGTCTGCTGGAGGAATCGGGAGCCAAGTTACCATATTAACCCCGGATTCTGGCAGCCATCAGAGCGAGCGCCTCGGGGTTTATGTGGCAGCACACCCCACACTCTGTCGATCACCTTCCCGCTTGTATGTGGGGGATGCGGATGTGGACGACCCTGATTTTCGTCTGTCCATTTGCTGATTGGACACGTCTAGCAGGGATCGACTCCAATCCGCACGAGTGGCGTGAATCAAGACTGATCCATCCCTGAAAGGGGAGAGGCGGGCTTGCTGGGCAGGACTTCTTGCAGGGTGAATAAATCGACGTCTCCTCATTTGGTATTGCTGATGCACAGAGCTATGTATGTCTAGCAGTGACTTATGTGAACTGGACTGCATACAGAAGATGAACTGTCTATATGGATAGCACTCGGCTGGTTACAAAGCCCCGCCTGACTGGCTTGTGCTCATTGTCGCCTGCGAAGCGCGTTTGGAAAGGACTCTGGGGACCAGCGCCCACCACGAGGACAAAGGGGGGCACCATCAAAACGGGACAGGAGGATCTATTTAAGACTGTGGGTATATGGAACGGGCACACAAGAAGTGATAACATCTGGTCAATGGCCCCAAGCCAATCATATATGGCAACAGGTTCATTGTAGAGGATGAGGCAAGAAGGACGGGGAGCGGACTCTCCAATAAAGTTTCCTCATAGAGTGCCTGGCGCAGCTCTTCGTATGCCAACTCCTAAGCGTGCTGGTCAGCAGCTCGGCCCATCCACTTGATCACGGACGCACGTACCGGTGTAAAGGCGGCAATTGAGAGCAATAGACATGCTGCTCCTAGGGTGGATGGCAAAAATCGGTGGGAGAAATCAATGTATCGATGCCACCTCTATCGCCTTGGTCACAAGGACCTCCTTCTTTTTGTATTTCTCCGCAATGATTCTCCGTTCTTCAGCTGCCCAAGCCTGGAGCTTGAATGCATTCCGCAAGCACCATAATATAACCTCACGCGCTGCATACGTATCTTCAACACAATCATGACCATCATTTCCAGCTTGGATTTCGCGATCAAGCAACTGATGACAAAGCGTTTTCAGCGCCCAATGTCGCTGGCAATCCTCACCCACCGCAACCCGCGTCATGATAGCCGAGTCAACAATGCGGGTGTGTATCATGCCAAGGACAGCAAGATCGTTATTAAGACTGTGCCCAATGAGTACAGTTCGTGCATCAATGAACTGCCATAGAAGATCCCTTGCAGCTCGCCAACCCTTTATCAACTTCCCCTCTCGCGTCTTCTCCGCGAGAACGGATGGATTGACGCCGCTAAACTTTGTTCGCCAGGATATTACATGGCCCTGCGGAGAGACGTAGGTGTCAATTATGAGTTCGCGGCTTAAGAAATCGACCGCGCTGAGACGAACAACCTCGCTGCATTCGCGGCCATCGGCTCCGAGAACTCCGACCATTTCACAATCTAGCACGACGGCCTTGCGAGCTGCCCGGTTGTATGCCGGTGTAGGTGCCATCTCGCCCAATTTTGCATCGGGTGCGGCGAATTCATGAGCGGAGAAGACGGTACAGCCCTTTGAACTACCGAGTTGCTTGCAGTTGACGCACCGGGCGTTCTTTGGGACTCCTGTACCTCGACCACGAATAATCCCTTGCTGGCAGCAACCCTGTCAATCCCAAGTCTATGGAGCAAAGGTATCCGTCCTATTACTCACTTGAAAGTGCTTCCTTGCCGGATGGAATCGGCATACCGACTCCGCTGGGTGTGTACTGATTCTTCGCTTTGCGGCTTATGATGGTCATGTCAGTGCGAACCGCTCAAGTGGTTAAGGGTAATCCTCACCTCCACAGTTTCTACACTTCCTTGTCATATCGATATCCACAGGCGATGGCGTCTGGGTCCAATATCGCTCCCCAGCCAGGCATGCAATGGGGTGGCATTGCGATTGCAGCGCATCCAGCACTACATCGCGCTCGCTTGACAGGATCGACGACCACGACGTAGGAACTTCCGGTACGACTGGTTCGTAGCTCCCAGAAGGTGTACATTCCTTCCGATGCTCCACTGATACCGAAGCAACCTGATTACCGGTCTTCGCCTCGTCTGGTTCAGTTCTCAACAAGGGTAGCACCCCATGACCCACCGAAAATTTGTACGCATTATGTTGCGCCACAGGTGCGGTCGTAAAACCAATGTCGATATCCGGAATGGTTTTCAGAAACGATGTTTGGGGTGCGTGTAGCCCTAGGCGTCGCAGCGGGAGTGGGCACCGTTGATCCCTTAAGTCTGTCAGTGGCTCGTCAATGTTGTCATTCTCATTTGCAAAGGCTCTTTCTGCTTCTGCCTCTGGTCTTGTTACTCTTGCTTCCTTGCAACTTAACCCTGAGGCTGGTGCCTTCGCGGTGCCGGACGAAATACTTCGTGAAGCCGTTAAGAGGGTTCTGTGTTTCGGAGAGTCCTTCTTATGCTTCTGCAATGCTGCTTTGTTTTTGAACTGCCTGTCACAAATATGGCACATGGACTCTTTGTTTATTAACGAGACCTTTGACTTATTCGCGCTGGATGCCGAAGGCGATGAGACTAAAAAGGAATCAATTCTTTAGTCTAGCGCATAATCGAGAAACTAGACTGGGACACAAGAACCTACCTGTTTTTTGCTCTCGATGCGCTTTTGCGCTCCGTAAATGCATGCGTAGAGCGTCTGTGTTAATGAAGGATCTCTGACAGGTATGGCAGTAAACAGCCCCTCCATCGCCGGAGAGTGGTGTGGTCGTTTGTTTTCCTTTGGACATCTTGTACAGCGTATTACAGCCTTCCAATTCCTTGTTCTAGTAGGGTACATCTGAGCGACCGGTAGTTGTTGTCCCGGCCAGAAAGGAAACGCCTATTTATGCCTGTGCGATACCATAAGGCAGCCCATCAGAAGACACACGAGGCAGATAGGAAGTTTCCCTTGGACATGGCAGATCAACCCCTCCCACCCAGCAAGTTGAAACCTTATCCAATCGATTCACAGCCAGGCGCTGTGGCGCAATGCCTTCCCTGCATGCCGCGGTGCAGAGTAGGGGTGCGATTGGAACAGAGCGCCTGCAGTGTTCAGCTGTTCCGTCATTAGCGCAGCTGCTATATGCACAGCTATGACCTACAGGTATTCCATCGTTCACTTTGTTAGTCCAATAGGCGGATTTGGGTTCTTTATTCTGTGCCAAATCATCCAGTACTCTTCTGCTGTTACTCATTCTCATCATTTCCCCCCAAGTTTGTTCGGAGTTTACAGGCCGGCCTTTGACTCTTGTCGACTTCAAATCCCACAAGATCGCACACAGCATAAACTATGAAAAAAGAAAAAACATACAACAGAAGGGATTCGCTGGTGGTCACCCACCCAACTACTAACCTCCCGGCGTGTGGCTTAAGTACGGCTGAGCGGACGGGAAGCCCTGTTTTCCACACCCTGTGGTCGTATGTGCTGGACAATTCCTCCAGCACATAAGTGCTTAATGTAGTATCAGAATTTCTTTAAAAAAGTATAACTTCTTGATATACTTTTTTCTCTAAGAGGAAAAGGAACTCCTACAACTAATAACAACAAACCCGGCATGACTAGCTCTTCGATAGCCCACTACTGGGAGATTTCTGCATTATCTGCCATAGTACTAAATAATAGTTTGGTTTTGCCCGAGCGCTGCCTTTATCGGCGCTTTCTGCCTGGCGCCGCCTTACTAGTACGTAGGTTAACTAGCAGGGGCCCGTAACAATTGGCTTATTCTAATTTCGTTTTTTACTGGGAGCGCGTATTTCTTTGTTCAGCATTAATTTCTTGTTCTTGATAATAGTGGGCTGGTGGTCTTATCATGTATTTTAGTCTTTTCAATCATAGTAGTGAGTTTTCGCTTTTGTCGTGGTCGGGCGGTTCAGGTGTTTATATCTTGGCCTGTCCTGACATTTTCCCTCTCCATGTTCAAGAAACAGTCGCAACAATCCGTTCGAAGCTCAATTCGTAGTCGATGCCTGTGAGCTACCGTTCCCTCCTTCCTTCGGTACAGTCGAGGTTCTCATCGTGCGACAGCCAGATCGTAGAGTACGTTCCATGTCCCAGCTTGTCGATCACTTTGTATGGATTATTCAGCACGTCTCCAACACATAACTATTGGATGATATCCTCTCGGTCCATATCTTTCTAATTCTTCGACTTCCTTAATAGGCTTATACAAGAGACCATGGCTGTTGTTGGTGGGGGTCGTAATTGATCTGATAACTACACTCAACCGCCGAGGCGGCTGTTGGAGCCAACAAAAACCTGGAGAGCATGAGAAACAAGCTTCTCGCTTATCAAAAGTAGCGCAAGCCACGATCCAATAAACTTGGCTTTATCATTTTGACAACTCTTCCTCCGGTGATTGTCTCATCCCACGGTGCTGAAGAGGTTGGAATATTAATTTGAGAATGACGCAGACTGACGCCGATACCGATGGTCATGCGATTTGCATGTCTCAAGCATACATGTGCTGCCTTGTCTCCCAAGGCTCGTAGGTTTATATGGATCTTAAAAAGGAAGTATCCGTGCATAATCCAATCACTTAATACTCGACTCTCAGAACGTGCTGTTGTCGTCCTGCCTTGATTCTGATCGGAAAGTGGGCTCAAGTACCATAAATGGGAGAGCTAAAAATGTACCTAAAATATACCAATCAATCTGGCTGCTATGAATGCATTAAAACCGAAATGATCGGTGAAGCTTATCAAAACCCGCACAGTTCTGCTAGAGCTGCGCATATTGTCTTGGCCATCTTGCAATGTGACAGGAGAGTTATCCTAGTAGCCGCCTCCCCATTGAGCCATTCGTGATATTCGACCCTGGAATGGAGCGTGACCCGATCCAGGAAACTTTCTTACTTGGGTTGGTAAATGTCACCAAAATCCCCCAGTAGGATTAGGATTAATAATAGGATAGAAGCTTATTTTATAAGGCTGACGGGGTAGATCTTGAACAAAGGAAGGATGGTTTAGAATCTTGAAAGATAGGGCCTTTCTAATCATAGAGTATGATATCTTTGATTTGAAATTCCTGAAGACGGTTGACTTCCCTTTGTAGACTATTTACTCATAATATATCCCACTCTGGACGCCGGTGTGGTCCCAAGAAGGGTTATCATATAAGTTTCAAGGTAATGAGACAAACGAAAATCAGTACCTATTCTTTGATGCTAGCTTAAAATGCCACTGGAGTCGCCCATTTGAAATACTCAAGTTGAAGCTGCATTATGGCCTCTGCTGCAACAGGGACTTGTTTCCAACCAGATCCTACCCAGAAATTAGAGTTTTCGGCAGGAACATTCGCGGACCAATAAGGAAGCGTGCCAGTAGTATTGGTGAATGAGCCCCCTTGATTTGGGTTCCGAGTCTTGACAAAATTGGCCCAATAAGAGGACATCAAGTCGGCTACCGCATAGTCCACATCGGTATAGTTGTAAGAAGTCTGAGCGTAAAGGTTTCCGAGGGCGTACGGAACCTCAGAGCCGTGAGTAGCGCCAAGCTCGCCAGGGGGAACATGGTTCCAAAGATAGAAAAACAGGTCTTTGTCCGATGATTTGCTAAAACGCTCAGCCCAAGACCAGGTAGAGGTGCAATAGCCACCCCGAAGCAAGTTGAAGTAGTTTGTAGTGGCCTCTGCGGTGGTATTAGCAGGGTAATGAGCGAGAAGTTCTTTTGCGTATGGCCCATAGGTGGAATCCAGCAAAGACTCATATTCGGCCACAGTGTAGTTGGTGGAAAGAGAAATACCGTCCTCGTCATAAGCGTTACCAACCATGACTGGAACGTTATTGGGAGCTCCATTCTCGACACTTTCCAGATATGTATTGGGGATAGAGTGGTAGTTGAGAACAGGATCAAAGCCAATGAGCTCGCTCGTGCCTGTTCCTGACAAAATATCTTCGAGGCTGAGAGCTCTTAGGTCTGCCACATTGGTAGCATTAAGCGAGGCAGCATAGGTTGTACTAAAATTTGTGGCCCAGGTCAAATTGCGATAGTCGCTGCCATATCCCCAAATATTAGGATCGTACGGATCCTTGATGCCGGACATGGCGATGACACCTTTGATCAAACCCTTAGTTTCAAAGCTGTTCATCAGGTGATAGGACATTCCAGATCCGAAGGAGTGGCCTGCCAGCACAATTGACTCCGGGTCACCTCCAAAAGAGGCAATGTTCTCATACACCCACTTCAGGGCTTTTGTTCCATCCAGTAAGCCGTAATTGCTGGTAGCATTGTTGGCAGACTCCTCGGCAAGCTCAGGCAAAGCGAGCCACGCTAGAGGACCGACGCGATAATTATAGCTGACAAAGACAACCCCCTTACCAGCCATCCCTGCACCATCATAGATGCTGGAACTGGAACCTTCCCCTCCAGCATATGACCAGATCATAACAGGAAGCCCAGCATTGGGTGAGGTTGCAGGGCTCCAGATATTGATGGTTAAGCAGTCCTCCCCAATATCGTCACCAGTGCTGTCGCTGGGGCAGGTCAGGCCGAACGAAGTCGCTTTGAGGGTTCCATTCCAAGGCTCCACAGGCTGGGGAGGTTTCCAACGATTCTCGGAACTAGGATCTCCGGCGTAGGGGATTCCTTTCCAAGTAGAGATGTTCCTCCAATTGGGGATGTAAGAGGGGGCCGAGCTTTCATTGAATGCAGAAGCACCAGTCACCTGGCCTCCTGGAACTTCAATGATTTCGTTGTATAGAGAAGCATTGACGACCGACAAGAGCGAGAGAACGCCGAGGCTTGGTAAAATTTGTTGGATGGTTTTCATCGTTGCTGCCAGATATGAATCTAGAGAGGAAAAATCGGCCGCGTAAGGGATCTTAAATATTGATAGAATGGCGGTCTGTCTCAGGTTTTTGTCTTTGGTCCGAATCACGTCATCTCTAAGTCGAATACTATTACCTGTTGAAACATTGCTAATCTTATCTTAACTTAACTTGCAGGCCACGAGTGCATAGTAAGGGATGTCCTTAATCGCTTATTTAGTAGTAGCGTGGAGGGTTGCAGGGATGGCGATCCTTTGGATTCTGCCGTTTATATGTTTAATTAACGTAATCGGAGGGCGAAGCGGCGCAACAATGAGCCGGCGCTGCAACCCTCAATGCTTTGAATAAGCCGCTACTCTGTCTACTAAGATAGAAGAATCGATCTAAGTCAAAGTAGTTCAATATCAAATAAGTTGAATGATATACAAGAAACTGAGTGTTGAAGATATCTAACCGGAGTACAGCCTGCTCTATGATGCAGATCTCTGTACTCCGTAGAATGCAAAGTGGGTCCAAGTGGGGAGGCTACGTAATTGTGGCTGATTTGAACCTCTTATTGGTTCGGGAGTCGGTGCTCTTGATCAGGTTTATCGCCGACTTCCGCCAAAGGTTCGATCGCAATTGTTCTTAAATCTCCGCCCATCATGATGCAGTCGGTGGAACGGATGTGGGGAAATCAACGACTCCTCATTGTGATTGCGTGGCCACTTTGATGTACAGATTAACTGAGGGTAAAGAATGTCCCGTTCACCGAATATAGTCCAGATGCTGTCGTTCTCCACATGACACTGGCATTGAAGACTTCCTGAGTACTTCAAAGAGTCTAGGGAACCAAGTATATGACAGGCAACGTAAGATCGCAGGGTTATTGCATGGATCCACATTGTAGACGGGACTCTTTGCCAGGACGGGTGGGATAAGTCGGTAACAGCGAGATGACATGGGAATAACCCGGAAAATCAGCATCTGCAGTCTCATACACAGGGGAAGCCTTCCAGTTTCAAAAGCAAGGATCGGCACTACAACTTCTATTTTTGTTTGGATTGTTTGGTTGGCCGCGTCTGCAGGACTTGAATTTTACATGACGAACTTTCGCACAAGAAAGCGGGACCGGATGATTTACCTTGTTATTTTATTCAAATTAAACGGCCGAGGCTGCATCATCATCCTCAACGAAAATTCGGGGGCTATCGGCTTTAACCGTCTACCTTACCGTCTAGTCAAGGAGCATCTTCACTATTGGATGACGCGTCATATGAGTTTATAAAGTATTAGAAACTTGTTGTCCCCCGTAATCTACCCATCCTCCTCATCCTCAGTCTTCCTGGCCAGTTATCATGGCCTACTCCATCCCGACGGTTCTTGCTTCGGCAGGCTTTCTGGTCAGCTTGGCCTCTGCCGCCCCTAGCTCCTCGCCGCTATATAACTCAGTGATCGAGACCAAGTATGGTAAGGTCCAGGGTTATCCTGCCTTCAGCAGCGAGCCCGCTGGTAACTTGACCAACTGGAAGGATATCACTGTCTGGAAGGGTATTCCATTTGCCGCAGACACTGGAGGCGAGAACCGCTTCCGTCCTCCGCAGAAGGCTAGCTCATGGAACACCACCCTGGATGCGAAGGAATTTGGCAATGTTTGCCCTGCCGCCACCAGTGACACCAACCTAACGATTTCCGAGGACTGCCTGAACTTGAACATCTGGAGTCCTGCCAAGTCCACTGGCGCCAAGCTCCCCGTCGTTATGTGGAGTTACCCAGCTGAATCTACTGCTGCTGATGCTCTCTTCGATGGTGGCGGTATGGCTGATAAGGGTATTGTCTTTGTCAACTACAACTACCGAACTGGATCATTTGGTTGGCTTGGACATCCTGAACTGAACGAGGAGGTCTACAAGGCCACTGGCCACAACAGCTCCGGTAACTGGGGAATGCTCGACCAGATGGAGGCTGTGAAGTGGATCCACGAGAACATTGCTGATTTCGGTGGAGACCCTGACCATATCACTGTCATGGGCCAATCTGCTGGATCTGCTGCGACCTACCACATCCTCAACAGCCCCCTTACTAAGGGCCTGATCAAGCATGCCATCATCGAGAGTGGTGTCCGTGACCCCCATGATCCTCTCTGCACTTCTCTTGCCGAGGGCTATAAGACTCAGGAATATGTTCTGGCCCAAGGCCTGAACTACACCGCTTCGAAGAATGTCAGTACCATTGCTGAGCTGCGGAAGTTGCCTATGTCTGATCTGGAGGATAACGTTTTGGATGGCTGGAGCTTCGGTGCTACTTTGGACTACTATGCTATGCCTTCCAAATACATCGTGTCTCTGAAGGAGGGAGCTGCCAATAATGTTCCCGTCCTCACAGGCAACACCAAAGACGAGAGTGGTGCTGAGAAACAGACGAACATCACTGTAGCCGAGTACCTTGCGGACTTGAAAGACACCTACACAACTGGTAACTGGTCCCAAAGATTCCTCGAGCTTTACCCCGCCGATACCGATAAGCGTGCTGATGGTGCCTATAACTCCATGTATACCGACCGGTCCAAGGTTGGTACCTGGATGTGGACTCAGCTCTGGGCCCAGTCCAGCAACAAGGATGTCTACACCTACTTCTGGGATCACGCTCCACCTGGTCAGGACCAGGGTGCCTACCACGAGTCTGAGATCAACTACGTGCTCAACAACCTCTACGCTACTGACAAGCCCTGGACCGCAAAGGACTATGAGATCGCTGCGAAGATGAACGGATACTGGTCTAACTTTATCAAATATGGCAACCCCAACGGAGACGGTTTGGTCCACTGGTCTCCCACTACTGACGATGCGCTTGTGCAGCACGTTGGAAACGGCTGGGGTGCCATTCCCGTGGCCGACAAGGCTAAGATTGAGCTGTTCAAGGAGTGGTTCGCAACACTCCCTACCTACTAGATTATCCTGCTGCTGGGAATGATTCCAGAGCTAGATCGAACGATCATCGTCTGTGCTCTTGGATGTTTAGCGTGAGAATTTCCGATGTATACTTTTTGTTACTTTATAGTACCTATGGAAGGTCACACAGTTGTCAGTGATGACATTTCCTCCACTGCTTCACTTCTTGTACTCTTCAAACTTCTCAATACCATCCTTTTGGCTATATCTAAAAACAATCCATTGCATAGTCCTCCCAAGGCCGATTTTGAGACTGGAGGTATTAACGCAAATATCATAGATTGTACAACGATAGACTGATGGAAAAAGTCGATAGTGGACTCGTACTCTGGCCCCCATTGTTGAAATTTGCCCCAAGAAAGGGAGAACTTCATTATCTAATTGGCCTATCGATTCTGCCGTCCAGTATCTTCCTTGAATCCCACCAATATCCGCCCTGTAGCCCCTCCGTATCTAATAGACCGGAACAGGGACACCATCGAATTCGTACAACCATGTATCTATAGAAGCCTGGTCATACTCGCACTCTAGATTCTTCCCGTCATTGGTCCAATAAGGTCGAAGCGGCCATGCGCAAATTTCCATGATCTGTCCCGCATTATCGCCCGCTCCCACAGTTCCATTCAGTCTGACCGGCTCAATGTTGTTTTCAACCCAGTCGATGATTGTCTGTAGGCCTGTCTGTGGCCATGGCCCGTTGGGTTGCTCATCGTTCCAATCGCAATGCGCAGCACCGGGCACAAGGTAAAGGCGGTACCAGTCTTTGATTGCAGCGGTACTATTAGCATAATCCAGGTCAGGGTACATAGTATTCCGAACGGACTCCCAGTATCGAACTGAGGAGGCAGTGGGGACGCTACTGTCGGATTCGCCGTGGAAGTGGATAAGCTTCCCTCCACTGGCTTGGAATGGAGTGAGATCGGGCCAATTGACCTGCAAGGTATCCTGATATCTCTGCATGCCCTCGATCATCCAGTATTTGAGAGTATCGTACGTGACACCCTCAAGGCTTGGGAGGTTCTCGATATCGAGATTCTGGAGCAACTGGGTCACAAATTCCCCGCCAAGTCCAACAATGGAGATGTCCCATGAGTCAGTCTCAGAGTTATATGTCGTCTGAGCATCGTGGAAGTCGGCCGTTGGCTGGTAAGAAATGTACACTCGGCGTCCCTTGGAATCATGCAAGCCATTAATGATTTCCTTCGCAACCTCAACACCCTTTTCCGTAATATTGCCCTTTTGAGCCGGGGCGCTACCCGAGGCAGGGCACTCGTAGCTATTACCGATAAGGGTGTCAAGGTTAAATTTCAATTTGCAAAGATCTGTTCGGGCCACCACACCATCATTCTTGCCATCCAGTCCGTCACAATAGTTGATGGTGGCATTGACGATCGTTGCCATTTCACAGAGAGGAGGGTTATACCCAATTGTCTTTTCGACCACATTTGAGAATAAGTGTTGGACTTGCTGAAATGAATAGCGAAATGCTGGAGCACCGACTGATGCGCCATCCCAGAGGTCCCCATACCGCTGAAGCTGGCTGAAAGCCTCACGACCACCCTCTGAGCAAGCCTGGAAGTATGAATATAGCTTTTCCTGCTCAGACATTCCATAAAACAAACGAGTAAAAGCTCTGCCAAGTACACCCAGCTCGTAGTGGGCCTGGTAGCCGAACAAATTGACAATGTCAAGATTGACCGTACCATTATCGAGGAGTACAACTTCATCAAATGAGGCTGAAAAGCTTCCAAAGCCCCCGTCTGTTCCACCATTCACTGCCCCGTATTGGACGCCGCCAGCGATTGTTGCAGTACCGGAGTATATGTCAAGTGCGCCGCCTCCTTGTGAAACATAACGCTTTTTGAATTCGGCTGGCGCCGGCAAAAAGTAGTTAACGAGAACCTGATCATCCTTGCCATTATGACTATAACCAAATGTCACATTGCAGAAGCTAACAACGGTATCAGGGAAAAAAGGCGACCCAGTATCATTGTAGTTGTATACAGCAGCAGCAGTTACAGTGCTGCTTTGAATCGTCACTCCGAGTAAAGCATCATCCGGCAGCGAATCTTGAACATGTGCGACGGTACACACGTCTGATAAGGATGATGCCGCTTGAACCACGGCGATACATCCAGCAGCCACAAAACCTGCTAGGGAAGAACGGATCATATTGAGCACCAGAGCGCACACTAACCGAATAAGAAATTTTCATGCAGACAGTATGTCAATAATGAGACCCAGACACTCCAAGCCCCTTTTATAGTGAGATGGATTGAACTGTTAGTCATTGACTTGATTTCCAACGTAATAGCTAAGGCTCAATCACTTCATCGTTTGTTGGGAATGAGGGGTTAAACCCCGAGTTGGCTTCTACTTGTGTGACTAGCATTATTCAAGACTAAAAACGTTTGTGGGGTGAGCTCCAGGAGCTCACAAAACCTAAATCTGGAGTGCAATCTATTATTGGACGGATTGATCTGTTCATAGCTGAGTCTATTTCCTTTGCTCTCTGTCCTGTAAATACTCGGATAAATAATTATCAGCCAATAACCATAAAAAAAACATGAGTTTACTTCCGCTCATCCGACATTCAACCTCCTATATTCAATATCAGTTTGGTAGGGGGGGTGGGGTGCAGCCGAGATTTCATGTCAGGTGCGATGTGTTCTATTGAATTCCGGCCCTCTTTTGATCAAGGAGAAAAACTTATTTTCAAGATCTTCTCTCGCATTGGCAACGCTAGTCTCCTGGATACTCCTTTCATTAGAGCCTTTGAATTACATGGAAAGCCCCTTTGATGAACCAGCCAAGCAATTCGTTTCACGGATCTGGAAGGCCTGAATATAGGAACAGGGAGTGGAACTTCAAGAATCTATCGTATTTCTCAAAGTTCTGGCTAAGGTTGCAATTTCCTGTTGTCTGTCCCCACAATTTCTCCGCATATTGGATCCCCGTTCGATCTAGTTAGTGCTTGTTTTCTAAACCCCCGCATTCATCTTGAGGCCGGGCCGCCTCCCATCCCCACCCCCACCCCCACCACTATGATTGCCATTGTGGGAACAAATGGGCGAAACTTTCAAATTTCAGCCAGGGATTTCAAACAATACGTTACGAAGGTTTGTCATAACCGCCTGATGTCGATGCGTATTTCTACAGTAATTGATGCATTGACCAACACCAGCAGAGAAGAGAGTTTAACAACCAACAATAATCCAACGCGTACTATATGAGGTACCTTCGTTCCAGTTTATGTATCAGGTTGAAAATCCATGCGTTAAAGCACTTCGTCAGCCAAGTATGGTTGAGATTTTTGACGGTAAAGTCAGGACATCTTCAGGCGGAGTGTAAAATGTGCTCAATTAGGCACCAATAGTATATTGAGGCGGAAATTACAGAGCAGAACCACATCCGACACCTCGGCTATAACCCGTAATAAGTACGCCATATGCATTCCTTCGGCTAGTTGCTTCGCTGGCTCGGTACTGGTTTAGTCGACAATTTGCTGGATTGAATACTAAATCTTCTCAGTCCAGATCGGATGAGCCAAGAGTGAGATAGCTGTATCATTCGAGCTACTAATTAATGCAACAGCGACAGCTATACACAATGATATTGATAAGAATGAGAAGCTTGACAATCCCTATGGCAGGCAGAAGAAACAATGCGCGGATATTAAGTCAACTCAATCTGGTTACGTCGACTGTTCGCCAAATCGGAGCTAGGTAATTATCACTGATGCTTAACCGGTGGCAGTAAACCCCCTCCGTAGCCCCACAAGGGTTCTCCCCATGGGGAAGTGGGGGGATGCGTTGTCTTGCAAGGGGTAGTTCAAAAAAAACGCTATCAACATTTTGAGTCCAAAGATACATGGGCCGAGGACAGGCTGCTTTCTCGGTCTCATGCCAGCATTCAATTGCTTGAGAGAAGATGCAGAGATCATTGATCAATGAATTAGTCTCAGCACCCTATTCTCCTCAATAGGACATTTCGTTTAGGCAAGGTGCTCAGAATTTCAGCCCCGGACAGAAGGGTCGAAACTTTCACATTTAATCACGCGTGGAAAAAGATTTATCCAAATTGTCAACTGTCTCTATCTTACTATACCGCCGGCTCTAAACGGTTCACATGATGTGATTTTGAGATCTGAGCCCTGGGCAACTCTAGGGGATGCTTGAAGGCTAAATCGCGGTTGGTGGTGGAGATGGATTGTGATGGGGATTTGGAAGCATGCGACGTGAGTGCGAACAATCCGCCTATAAAAAGGAGGACGCTCCCTTTTTCAAGACAACAACCCGGTCCCTATTCCTATTCTTTGTACGTCCATTGTACTTTACTACCACGTCCAGGAGCATGGTATCGTCGGCCTTTGTCTTGGCTGTTGCAGCTTTAGCAGCTACTGTTCAGGCTGCTACCCTTGATGATGTCTGCACATCGGCCTATGTCAAGGCTGCCCTACCCCTAGATGTTCTCACTGGAATCACTATCGACTCATCCTCCGTCGTGGTGAGTGCCACGAAGAACTATTCTTCCTCTGCTGGCGACTTTTTCGGGGCTGCCACTTTCGACTACTGTGCCGTCCAGCTTGCCTATTCGCACAATGGCCTGAGTGATGACCAAGTTCTATTGATGTTCTGGCTCCCAGCCCCAGACGAATTCCAGAACCGCTACCTTTCTACCGGTGGCGGTGGAATGGCCATCAACAGTGGCAATTCGTCCTTACCGGGAGGAGTTATGTACGGTGCCGTTACGGGAGCCACTGATGGTGGATTTGGAAGCTTCGACTTAGATGAGGATGACGTTTTCCTCGCGGCTAACGGCACCATTGACTATGAGGCACTGTATATGTTTGGATACAAAGCTCATCACGAGATGTCTGTTATTGGGAAGCAGTTCACTCGAAACTTCTTCAACATGACAGAGAGTACGAAGCTCTATGCTTATTACCAGGCCTGCTCAGAAGGTGGCCGTGAAGGATGGAGTCAAATCCAGCGATATGATGACTGGGATGGTGCCGTCGTTGGTGCTCCCGCGTTCCGATATGCGCATCAACAGGTACAGCATCTTTGGTCTGATATGGTCATGAAAAATCTTGATTACTTCCCTCCTCCTTGTGAGCTAACGAAGATCCTCAACCTGACCATTGCCGCCTGCGATCCATTGGACGGTTTGACCGACGGTGTTGTTTCCCGTACGGACCTTTGCAAATTGCACTACGATATGGACCAGGCCATTGGAGAGACTTATTACTGTGCCGCTGAGAGTGGCTCCAGTGGTTTTGGCAAAAGACAATCTACTACGCCTGCCCAGAGTGGAAAGGTCACAGCCAAGGGTGTAGCAGTTGCTAAAGCAATTATTGCCGGTATGAAGGATAGCCAGGGTCAGCAAGTTTATCTTTCCTACCAGCCATCTTCCACCTGGGGTGATGCTGGAACAACCTATAACTCAACTTCGGGTACATGGTATGCAAGTGCTAGTGGAATTGGTGGAGATTGGGTGGACCGTTACCTGGAGTTGATCGATAGCGAGTCATTGTCAATGGATGTTCTCACCGAGGATAAATTGAAAGCTTGGATCTACGAGGGATGGCAGCGATACGACAGTGTTCTGCAAACGACTTGGCCGGATCTCTCTGTCTACCACGGCGCAGGAGGAAAGATCCTCCATGTGCACGGAGAGTCTGATTTCAGTGTCCCAACCGCATCATCAGTGCGCTACTGGGAGTCAGTCCGAAGTGTCATGTACCCGGATCTCTCTTACACTGCCGGCGCTGCCGCCCTAAATGACTGGTATCGCCTTTACCTGATCCCCGGAGCTGGCCACTGCTCTCCCAGCACCGATCAGACAAACGGCCCATTCCCACAGACCACCCTTGAGGTGCTTATTGAGTGGGTTGAGAAGGATGTCAAGCCAAACACCCTCCCTGCTACCGTTCTTCAAGGCTCCGAGAAGGGAAAGAAGTGGGAGCTTTGCGCCTGGCCACTTCGACCATTGTGGAAAGACAACGGCAAGACCTTCGAATGCATTTATGATCAGGCGTCGATAGATACGTGGCACTGGGATTTGAATGCATGGGATTTGCCTGTCTACTAGAAAAAGGCTCTAGGAGGTAGTACAATTTAAATCGGTAAATACCCGTTTTTAACAGGTATCTATTGGCATAAGACTACCGCTTACCTTCGCTAATATGAACCATATCCTGTAACCTGGAGCCTGTGCACATAGACTGATCCCAAACCGTACAGTGGTAGGTAGGTAGGTAGGTAGGTGATTTCTTAATATTTTATTTATTAGGCTTCAAACTGCACGGTCAGCCATCAGTTGCTCCTTTTGTCCGGTCGTATCCACTTGCTTTGCGGGGTCAATACCAACTCTGAAGTGACCCAAGTTGCGGGCTTGGTGTTTCGTTGGCGTTGAAAATTTACCAGTTTTTCAAAACAAATTCTGCGTGGCTGGAGGAAAGGACTATGTCTACATCAGCCTTATAAGATCAAGAGTGGGGTGTCTAGGGTGAGCGCATGAGAGTGACGAAGGATGAACGAGGTGAATAAAAAGCAGCACGGGCATTGAATTGAATAATCACAAAAGAATGCAAAAACATACAACAGTATTAGTATGACTGTTATCTCTCTTCTAGCCATCACTTCTTAAATTTGATGTTACCCGAGGGCTACACAGAGATTGATCTTAATGATTATTGTAATAATAAATCCAAAGAAGCATTCTAAATCATATCAGAATATGATAGAGCCCTTTATTTATTCAATTTATAGGAAAATATTTGCTTTGTCTTTAATAGCTACTACTAACTATATATAGATTTATTATGAATTACCTAGGCGCTGTGTTTCCACCCAATATTTATACCTAAGAAAATTTGATAGAATTTCTAGGTAGGAATCTATTCAATGTGATTTTATATGGGGCATATAATTGATCACAGAAGAGATCATTCTTTAACCATCAGATCAAAGTCAAATAAGTATCATATACTTCAAATTATTTAATATTACAATAAAAATTATCACCTGCAAGATCTCTGTCAGAATCAGGATTTTTTTTTAGTTCTGACTAAACTATTTTTCTGGCTCCGGTCTCATCCTATTATACTAATTTCTGACCCCCGTCGCGCGTGGGTGCCCCAGCTGAGCAGACAGAAAGCCCTGTTTTCCACACCCTGTGATCGTATGTACTGGTTTCTACTCGGGCTTGAATCATATAGTGTCCAAAGAGTTTACTACTTGGATGCGTTGCTAATGATCGCGGAGTCAGTCAAGTAAGGTGCATTCGGGAAGCCGAAAATAAGTCACTATATTGACCACAAATATCAATGTCTTTAACAGCTTGGATCTCTGAAGTTCCTTCCGAGAAATTCCTCGTTATGATTAAGATTTATTGCACGCTACACATCGAGCTGCTTATTCTTGATTCGCTATGAATACTCATGTGTAAATAATGTCAAATATATGCACTGAAAGCCGAAATATAAAGCAAAATACTATCGACAATGGAAGTGAAAAAACTCCCCCAAAAAACCAAAATCTATAGGCATATGCAATCTCCCAACACAGAAACAAAACAAGATCACAGAAGTAAACCACATCAACATCATGCATACACATACCCCGAAAAATAACAAAACAGCAGAACAGAAACAGACAACACCATCATGCAATCTATATGACATCTATAAATCAATCTCTTCTTCTCAAAAAACTCAAGTATCATCGTCTATCCCAACATCCCCATAATCTTCTCAATCTCTCCCGCAATTTCATCAACAAGCTTATGCACCTCTTCAACACCCATAACTCCCCCCTCAACTCGAACAGCGAACCCGATTGAATCCGTCTTGGCATCTGGACCGACATCGATGAATATATTCTCTGACGGTAAGAACTCCGTATCCAACGCCGATACGGCAGTGACCTCTTCAGCCAAAGGCTGTTCGGGGATGAAATCTGTAGGGACACCGATCCGCAACGGGGAGAAGAAGTCCTCTGAACCATCTGATGTGGTATTGGTAGTTTGCGTCCAGAGGAGGTTCACCCAGATGTTGAAGAGGGGTTTGTCGGGTGAGATCCACTGGAGGATGTTGCGGAGAGAACTTTGTTCGTAGGAGACGCGGTCCGCGAGAGAGGTTTGGATGGCGCGAACTTGGGTGAGAAGGTCGGTGTTGACGGAATTAGTGTTTGCGTTAGGGATGGTGAAGGGGTTGACGTTCAGACAGGGTCCGGAGAGGTTCTCGATGTTGTTGAAGGAGGCAGAGCGACCGGCTTGGTAGAGACCCATTGTTGGGTTTTGGACGTCGGTGAGACGTGCAATGCAGCGGGCTATGGCGAAGAGAATGACTGTTTGTAGGCTGACGTTGGAGGATCGGCATTTTGTCTCTTGCTGGGAGAGATCCTTGACCTTTTCCCAGACTCCGATGAAGAGCTGGTCTGGAGTGGATGGGGTATCGGTGTGAGTGTTGCAAATGATGGTAGGGGAGGCGTCACCGAGAGTAGTGTTCCAGTATTGCTTTTCATCAAGGTTCTGGAGAGAGCGCATTGAGAAGTCGACGAATGCAGGGAAATCTATGTTTGTTTCAGGAGTTTGGCCATTATAGAGCTGTGCTAGCTCTTTAACGAACATCGGCATGGTCCATGCATCGTACGCGGCGTGGTTTATGAGGACGAGGATGCCATCTTTGTCGCTAGCTTTCAGTAGACGGAGTCTAACTGGAGGTGTGTAAAGTGAGGATGGATGAAGAGCTTCTTCTCTTGCTTGTGCTTGGGCTGCTTCAGAGATTGGACTAGAGGTCTCGATGACCTGGAAGGTGTTTGCATCACGCATTGCCTGTTTGAGAACAATCTGTACTGCTTCCGACGAGGAGGTAGCTGCAAAGCAGGTGCGGAGGATAGGATGTCTTTGACGGAGCTGGAACCAAGCTTCCTCAATCTTGGCACTGTCGATGCGCTCGGAGCAGTGGTATGCCCAAGCAGGTTCGAGCAGTCTCCGCCCGGACTTCAACCAGCTGACGAGGTGATAGAATTGGCCACCGAGACAAGGTAAGATTGCTTCGACAGAGTCCTTGCCGAGATTGAGCTGCTGTAGTACAGTTGTTTCCACCTCGGCGTAATTTTTGACGAGTGAACCCTGAGGCTGAACTGCCTGTTCGGCACTTGGCTGGATACGTTGGCTGATACCACGGAGGGTGTTTCCCTGAAGGATGTCGGCTACCCCAATCTTCAACCCCTTCGATCGACAGATTGAAGCAATGCGGATAGCTGTGAGAGAGTCCAATCCAATATTGAAGATGCTAGTGTTTGGCTTGATATTGTCCACTGAAACACCAGCGATCTCAGCGAGTACAGATTGGATGATGGCTTCATTGGGGGTTACTTCGGAAGCTTCAATACCAGAAGCGAGCGACTGCTCCATGGCCAGCTTTGTCGGGAGCTCACCAAGACCATGTGGCACAATCGTAGCGCATCTGGTAGGATGTTCGATGATGTCACGGAACGCAATGGCAAATTCCTTCATGAGATGGTCAAGAGTTTCCTGGGAGATGTACCGACCATTGCAAGTTGCGCGTGCCACAATTCCATCGTGAGCATGGTCGACCTCAATGTTCAGCTTATATTCTGCCTGCGCCGCGTAGTCATCTGCTTCATAAGGCGTCCAAATCTGTTGCTCTTCTAAGATACTGCCGGTGAAGTCCGCACTCTTTTGGAAGACGAATAGAGTATCGAACAGGACGGACGATGTACTGTTGTTAGCCTGCCGGAAGGAATTCTGTACCACTCTTAGTGGCGCGTTCTGATGGCTCTGCGAGTTAATTGTATGCTGTTGTAGACGCTGGGCCATGGATTTGTTGCTTAGGAACTTGGGCTCGAAAGAGACTCTCTGAGCAACTGTATTGAACATTGGCCCAAGGGTTCGTTCGGCACCTGCAACAGGTAACGAGCGACCAGCAAGGACTTGTCCGAAGACGACATCGCGTTTTCGTTTCACACATGCCAGTACCTTTGCATATGTCAGGAGAGATACACTCTGCACGGTGACCTCCATTGCCTTGCAGGCATCCACTATGGCCGACAAGTCAAGGTCAATCCGGCATTCAGAAAGGAACATGCGGTCTGACGACTCGGGATGAGGAAGCTCAGGAATTTCAGTCACTTCGTATCCGAGTAGTCTTTCTGTCCAGAACTCGCAAGCTTGTTCTTGACCGCTTAGTAGATGCTGGACAGTTTCCGAGAACTGTGGCCTTATCGGAAGACTGCTCTCTTCATAGCACACCGCAAGGTCCTCAAACAAGAAGGGAATGGAAGAACCATCATACAGAGCATGATGCAGAACAATAACCAATAATCTGCCTCCAGGCTGGTGGACTAGAGCAGACCGGATTGGTGGGACCTCGAAAGAAGCCTCTTCGCTGAAAGCATAGAGAGACTCGACTTCAGTCAGAACATCGGCCCCGGAAGGCAATGCGAGCTCTTCCCATTGGAAAGGAGGATTGCTGTGTACGGCCCCAATCCAGGAAGAACCAAGCTCAGCGATCAGGTGGAAGGATGTACGCAGAATATCATTGGCCTCAATGACTCTGAAGAGGGCCTCCTTCAGCCGGATAGTATCGACAGAGTCCTTCAATCTGATAATGTGCGGGTAAACGTAAACCTTTCCGCTTGAAGCAATGGTCTGCGTAATCATTCCCGACTGTAGGGGCGTAGTTTCGAACATTGTGGAGATCGAATCATCCTCTGCAAGGAGTCGGACCTGTTCGCCATAGTTATCAACAGGAATACCGGTATTTGTCTTGCCGTGCCCATTGACGCCGTTCACCGGGGTGCGAGAACGTGAAGTCTGCTCCACCTGCTGAGCCAAAGCACCCACGCATGAGAAGCGCATAACATCAGCAGAGGAAACTTGAAGCCCTGCTTCACGTAGCTGACGCGCAAATTGGATCGCAGTCACTGAATCAACACCTAAACTCAGGAAAGAAGCCCCTTTAGTGACTTCAGCCGAAGTCAATCCGCAGAAAGACATTGTGTAGTCACGAATTGTGGTTTCCGTGGTAGACCATGTGGTATTGTCCCAGTGCACAGCAGGAC